TGTACTTGAGGACCAACTAGAGACGTCCTTGAGGGATGTCCTTGGGACAACTATCGAATACCTAAATCCTACAGTATTCCTCATCAAGCACTACAGAGGATATCCATAGGAAAACATATCAGCAACGCTGAGGGATATCAATTGGATGTCCCAGGGACGTACGAATTATTCTTGAATTTGAATTTTTCTGGGTCCTTCTAGGACCAGATCTTGCATAACTGATTAGGACATCCAGTTGAGTTAATGGTCCGTAGAAGGTCCCCAAAAACTTACTTGAAGGAAATTGACGAGTAGTACTTATAGCCTACGAGCAATCATTCGTCGGCGAGGTGTGAGTTAACGTCCTCGCAGGGACAAAATATTGAAAGTACCGACTGGGACGTCCATTGAACGTTATTTCTAGGAAATGGAAAGAGTACAGTTCATGTACCAATTGGGACATCCGACGGATATCCCTAAGGGACATTTCGATTGTTATACGATCCTGGAAATATTAAGGGCGTCTGTGCAGAGATATTTGAAGGAATGTACCAACAGGGACATTTCATAGTAGTCTAGAAGGGGCCATATATAAGATCTGAAGTCATGCCAGGATATGTACCACTCGGAACATCCGATAGATGTCCCTAAAGGAACGTTTGAAATCATATCCCATCAGGGACAATATGTACCACGTGGGACGTCTAAGGGATGCTATTTCAATTCAATTCAATTTCATTTATTGTGTCAAAGAAAATTCACATTCTTATCACAAGAGGTTTGGTTCATAGTTTTTTATTTTTCACTGAATACTTGGATGATATATATAATATACAGGGCGATCCACGGTGGACGGCCCATTAGAATCATCTGGAGAACGAAATGACAGAACGTCTAAGGGATGCTATTTCTAGGACATTTGAAATGATGTACCAGCTGGGACATTCCGTGGACGTCCTTGCTCGGACATTGCATGAGATGTACGGAATGGAACGTCCCAAGAACACTTATTTTTGGTTCGGGACATTTGGACGTGAATTGTACCAAATAGGGACGTCCCTAGGACGTTGTGTGCTATTAGGTATCATCAAATAACACTGATAGTGAGTTTTTGGTCCGAAACGTAAGATAATTGCAAAGTGTTGTATGTCGTTGGATTCGAAATTGGGATTAGAGTTTTTTAGTGAAAAAAAATATTTCCGACAATTTGAAAAACAAAGTTGATGATGGCTCCTCGAAGACGAAACGTCGAAACACGAATCTATTAATTTCATTGAATAGAGCAAAAAAAGTGGCAATACTGATATAAAACTCATTTTCATCATTTCAAATAGTCACAAGAAAATAAAAACGAAATCGCGGATATTCGTTTTTTATTCAAATATCTTCGGAAGTATACAGAATTTCCAAACTTTTGAGGCGGCATTTCGATCAGCATAAAATTGTGCAGCTATGCCATGATTTAACCGACCCTGTATCTCTTACGGTTTACGAGATCCCAATGATGATCCTCGAATTCCAGCCACCCTGTACATAAAAATTTTACAAAAATCACCATCCTATCTAAGTTCTGAAAGAATAAATCGATTAGAATTTCTAATACTACCCGTCTTATCACTCAATCATAATATATTCCACTCATCTGTATCCTGTTGACATAGCTGAAGAGTCTCAGACAAGAAGATAAAATAGATCCACTTAATATCGTATTTCCTCTCATGACTGATTAACCGATAATAAATATGGTATAAAAGTATCAGATCACAATATAATAAGTATCAGAGTAGTCAGAACATTAGATATGGGATTTCAACTAGTGAATCTGATTATTTTGTGCATAGCCGTATCTTCTAACTGGGTAAGTTGCTCGAATCTCGTATTTTGCCTGAATTTGTGAAATAATCTGATTTTCAAAAAGTTAGGGACATTTTTAAATATAAACGACATTTCTTTATGTTCTGGTTCCCACGAAAAGGGATATCCTGCAATGTTCAGAGAAAAATTTCTCCATAGGTAAAATCACAATATCACTAACTTTTTTTGATCAGTCACACCAGTATATCTACCTATATAATTTAGATCTCAATAATTCATCCATATTCATTTTCTGTAGTGATGAAATAGAACAGAAGTAAAATATCTATGACCAAGAACTACATTGAATCTCACCTTGCTGCTTCTACATAATATCCTGAATTTAGAGGTGAAGTTGTCCATAATGTTTCAATTAACTCTGCCATATTTTTCCTTGCTTTTACATTTTTCCTCATTATTATGATTTTTTCCACTGGGTCATCTCAACCGCATCACTCTCCTATATGGAACCCGTCAGCCGATTTTCAAAAACAAAAATTCCATAATATATAACTCAACGAGCTCTCTCCGAAAATGTGAACAAACCTGAATTATTCAGATTTTCAAGGCCTACTTTTGTTTGTTGAAATGGTAGAAATTTCTAAAACGACTATTGTGCAATTTATTTTCGGAATATTGACTAGCCTATTTGATTTAGGCATAGCTAAAATACCTCTATACGGAATTTGAACGCAAAATTTCATATAGGGTGTTAGATATTCGATGGCAAATTTTGATATATATATATTATATATACTTTTTGATTTTCCGATCCACTTTGTATCGAAATCTAAGTGGTTGATATAACCGGTGAAGTAGTCATTCATTACAGGAGCACGTGGAATACTTAGATACGAAGTTTCATCGTTGTAACTTCTACAGGAAGGTCAACCAAAAATTAGTGAAATTTTCCTCCTGGAAATACGAATAATGGTAGCTTATTCGAGGGAATATTCCCTATACATAACAATTCATTGTGATCTCGAACTTTCATTTTTCACTAACATCGTTATAATATACAGTGTGATGCAAATGTATGGAATAAATTCATTATTTCAGAAATTGGCGACATTTTAAAAAATTCCAAAAACACGTGATTTTTAATTTTTGAAGCCTCATCTCATGATATTCATATGAGAGATGTTACGTCACCGGTGTTGGAGTTAAGACGTAATGGACGATTTTTTCAAATACAAATAGGGGTCATGTGACACCTTGATTGAAAGGTCTACTGATCGTCTATTCAACAGTCAAAATGTTGCATAAGAAGATTGAAATTAAAATGGATTATCATGTGATCAACTGAATCTTGCAGAGGTCTGCTACTGAGAATTGAACATCGAAAAATACGTCGAAAAACAAATTCTAAACTCTAGTTTTTGTTTTTTTTTCTCTCGAAAGTCGTCTTGTTTTGAAATGAATTTATTCCATACATTTGCATCATACTGTATATGATCACATCAATCATTAGTATATCTCCTTGCAGTCTTTAGAGAGTGTTTGTATGTCTTCTTCATCTTCCTGTAGAAGTTACAACGATGAAATTTTGTTTCAAATTATTCGGTGTGTTTGTTCCTCCATTGAATGACTACTTCACCGGTTATATCAACTCTTTAGATTTTGATACTTGGTAAATCGTAAAATCAAAAATATCGAAATTTGCCATTGAATAACTAATACCCTATATGATGAAATTTCGTATGGAACTATTTCAGTCACTGTTTCGAAACAAAATGCCTAATATATAGTCGTTTTCGAAATTTTAACCCTTTCAATAATCAACGTAGGCCTTGAAGATGTTAACATTCCACAATTGTCATCATTAATCGAATAGCGCTCGTTGAGTACTATATTATGAAATTTTTGTTCTTGAAAATCGATCGACGGGTTCCAAATTAGGAGCTTGAAAGCCAAAATCACTACATAAATGATCACAGAGTGGGCTGACGCCATGCTTTTAGTGGACCAGAATAAAACTCTCTGACCAAACATATCACTTCATCGTTGCACAAACCGTTTTCTTTTCTTTTTGCATCCTGATTTCATCGAACTGTATGTGTGTGCAGGGTTGGAATAAGTCATGAATTTTATGAAAAAAGTAATAAGAGTCCGACTTTCCGATTTACTTTGGACTTATTTGAATTAATTCATTTAAACAAAAATGAAATTCCATTTACGTGAACAAAATACAAAAATGTTATAAAAAAACGAAGCATAACATAACAAAATAGGCAACTTTTGCAAAACAAACTGGAACTTTTGATTGAAAAAAATTAATAAATGCATGTGTATGCAACTTATGACTTATTCAGAATCTTCATTGGAGCTACTACATCATGCAAATCCCACTATAGTGGTAGTATAATTGTCAGGCATTAAAATTCTCATTGAGATGTCAAGTTTACTTTGATAAAAAAAGATCTCCTGTAATTATAAGTTTAAACTAGTTGAAGGTAATATGATGTGATTGGTTGAAAGTTTGAAATAATTGAAGACTTTTTTAGAAATATCATGAATTGAATCGATGACTCAAATCATATGAATTGATTCGTGCCAACCCTGTGTATGAATATAAAGAACTAACTTGAAATGTTTCAACATATGAAATTTTTGTTTTCAATCTGGAGAGGAATACGAAAATTCTCTATTGTTATGATAACAAATGTGCCAACCATATTGTGCCCCATCTTCCTTTGCTTTCTCAAGGATTCCTTGTTCACACTACCCCCTCGCTTTAATGCTCAGGAATCTCAGTACTTATCCTAAGAGAGTCTATTGGTGATATACTGATATAATACAAACATACAACAGAGAATGCCTGTGAAGATATTGAAGGATTAGGTCACTTCTCAGAACGATAATATTGATATAACGGAGTATACCCGTAGAGGAGGAGAGGTGATCTTGATCACTTTTCAGATCCTGTGAACGTGATTATGGTCAGAATTCGGCATTTAGGAACATTTTAGCTAACATCATTTATATTCGTGTATCTCATCTCAATCCCCATACGTGAATTTTCAATTATGTTGGAAGAATTTTTGGTTAATTATTATATTATTTCAGGTTAGAAGTGTGGATAGTATCGCACCAGTTTCTGATGATTCTAGTGACCATGTAGGAAAACTGTACATAAAGTCTAATTCGACTGTTCCAAGTTGGAATAGGACTACTCCCAGTTGGAACTGGACTACACCTAGTTGGAATACCACAACAGATATCTGGAATCAGTCGACTCCAAACTGGAATACAACTACCTCAAGCTGGAATTGGACTACTCCCAGTTGGAACTGGACAACACCTAGTTGGAATACCACAACAGATAACTGGAATCGGTCGACTCCAAACTGGAATAGAACTACCTCAAGCTGGAATTGGACTACTTCAAGTTGGAACTGGACTACACCTAGTTGGAATACCACAACAGATATCAGGAATCAGTCGACTCCAAACTGGAATAGAACTACCTCAAGCTGGAATTGGACTACTCCCAGTTGGAACTGGACTACACCTAGTTGGAATACCACAACAGATATCTGGAATCAGTCGACTCCAAACTGGAATAGAACTACCTCAAGCTGGAATTGGACTACTCCCAGTTGGAATTGGACTACACCTAGTTGGAATACCACAACAGATAACTGGAATCGGTCGACTCCAAACTGGAATACAACTACCTCAAGCTGGAATTGGACTACTCCCAGTTGGAACTGGACAACACCTAGTTGGAATACCACAACAGATATCTGGAATCGGTCGACTCCAAACTGGAATACAACAACCTCAAGCTGGAATTGGACTACTCCCAGTTGGAACTGGACCACACCTAGTTGGAATACCACAACAGATAACTGGAATCGGTCGACTCCAAACTGGAATACAACTACCTCAAGCTGGAATTGGACTACTCCCAGTTGGAACTGGACAACACCTAGTTGGAATACCACAACAGATATCTGGAATCGGTCGACTCCAAACTGGAATACAACAACCTCAAGCTGGAATTGGACTACTCCCAGTTGGAACTGGACAACACCTAGTTGGAATACCACAACAGATAACTGGAATCGGTCGACTCCAAACTGGAATACAACAACCTCAAGCTGGAATTGGACTACTCCCAGTTGGAACTGGACAACACCTAGTTGGAATACCACAACAGATATCTGGAATCGGTCGACTCCAAAATGGAATACAACTACCCCAAGCTGGAATTGGACTACTCCCAGTTGGAACTGGACAACACCTAGTTGGAATACCACAACAGATATCTGGAATCGGTCGACTCCAAGCTGGAATACAACTACCCCAAGCTGGAATTGGACTACTCCCAGTTGGAACTGGACAACACCTAGTTGGAATACCACAACAGATATCTGGAATCGGTCGACTCCAAACTGGAATACAACTACCTCAAGCTGGAATTGGACTACTCCCAGTTGGAACTGGACAACACCTAGTTGGAATACCACAACAGATATCTGGAATCGGTCGACTCCAAACTGGAATACAACTACCCCAAGCTGGAATTGGACTACTCCCAGTTGGAACTGGACAACACCTAGTTGGAATACCACAACAGATAACTGGAATCGGTCGACTCCAAACTGGAATACAACAACCTCAAGCTGGAATTGGACTACTCCCAGTTGGAACTGGACTACACCTAGTTGGAAAACCACAACAGATATCTGGAATCGGTCGACTCCAAACTGGAATACAACTACCTCAAGCTGGAATTGGACTACTCCCAGTTGGAACTGGACTACCCCAATCTGGAATTCCACCACAAATCATTGGAATTGGACTACGCCGAGTTGGCATTCTACCACACCTCATTGGAATTGGACAACGCCTAGTTGGAATAGGACCACGCCTCAATGGAATTGGACTACGCCTAGTTGGAATCAGACCACAGATAGCTGGAATTAAACGACCCCACGACCAGGGACCAATAATAATACTGGAAAGATAAACTTTGAGGTCGAAATAGATCTCCATTTGTCCATCAATGGATCAATATATCAATAATAAATTATAATTCAGATTGACTCCACGAATTTGTGTTTCTATTATAGATCCTGATGGTAAACGGTTAAAGATGACTCTGTAAAGAAGATGACCATGACGTACAATACATACTATTGATCAGGAGGGGTGAAACAACTCACAGTCACAACACCACCACATAAAAAATTTTTAATAATGACCAACGGTCATGGACATAAGTAAGGACATGTTTCGAAGGATTAATCCTTCATCATCAGCAAATGTATCAAAAGAAAATCTGTAAGAAGAAACAATGCTTATGTTCGATACACTTCGATATTCTACGACTTTTCAAGTGGATAAAAAGAACTCTAGAAGAATCCCAATCCCGTTGTTCAATCCCAAGTATACGAAGGGACTTGATAAGGTTTTCAAAGACTTAGGTTTTGAAAGCGTTTATCAGTCTGGGTCAAAATTAGGCAATTTATTAGGCAATCCGAAAGATAAAGTGGACACACTCGAAAAGTCGGGAATATACGAAATGAATTGTAATGATTGTGATAAAACAAATATAGACCAAACCAGACGACCCATAAAAACAAGGTTCAAAGAACACATAGCCCATTTAAAATATGGCAGGTTAGATAAATCTTGTGTAGCTGAACATTATGTTGATATAGACAGAACATGGTATTCACTACTAAAATCTGAACATGAATAATTATGGTAAATTCAAGATTAATTAATGAAAACATCCTGTAACTCATTTGATTGCCAACGTCACCAATTGTCATTGAAACTGAAAAGCTTCAAGACATATTATATTATACAACTTCGCTATTGAAATAATCTCTTTCCATGTTGATAACGAGAGCAGAATCGGTCCCGAAACGTCCAAAGATAAGTGAAAATTTGATATTTTTTCTATATACCTTTATTTCTCTTCTCCAGAAATTTTTTCAATACAAATTGTCACTGACAAGCTAGTGAATTTTTCTTTTAGGCCTCTGATAGGAAATTTCTTTAAACGCAGTGACATTTTGGGGATAATCATCTGATTTGTCCTTACTACACGTATATTGAAATAATATTCATATTTTTATTTTATAGAAACGAGGAGAGAAAATCCCAAAAAATTTGGATTAATGAATGTACCACCTCCTCGATTAACCTACAGACAGTATTTAGATTAGCCTTGTTGAAGCTGTTTAAAGGACTACTAGAAAAACGAAGAAATCGACCTGAATGATCGCACATTCTTTTAGTTTTGGCTGGCATGATATCCATATAACATTTTACAGCATCGATCGAGCCTACCTCGGGAGGAAGATATGGAAGGTATGGGAATTTTTCACGAACTTATGGAGATTCTCGAGTGATTATCAATATACCTATATATCTACTATGCACTTTGTTGGTGAACCAACTATTATGGCTGTCTATACAAAATATAAGTGAAGGGACAAAAATTATGGTAAATACTCATCTTGTTGTGAGATTAAAATCTGGTTGATAACCAATTTTCTTGACCAAAACAACAATTACATTCGTATGGTGACTAAACATATTCAACTATTGTTCGCAGGTTGATTTAATTATTAAACCGGATAGGCTCATTTTCATGTGTTTTTATTTTGGTTGATTTAACCCATCAATTTATTTCATAATGGGTGAAATAATCTCGCAAATCTCATCGAAGCTCGAGTTAATCTTCGGGAGACAAGACACATAAAACTTCGCAATCCCTTTCTAATCGATGCCACCTCGCAACTCCTTCGCTCTCTCCTGCGAGTTTCCTCCCATTCCCAACCCTTCCATCGGAATTCCACTTGGACCGCTCCCGGCAGTCTCCGCCTCCCCCAATCGCAGGCGGAGGCGGCGAGAGCACGTGACGAGCCACGTGGCCGCCGACGGACGTCGCATCCTCGGCGTCGCGACGCCGGATCCTGGCGGGACACGGTGTGAGGCGGTTGGCGGAGGGAGGCGGCGAGCTGGAGTTTGGTGGAGTTTGGCGGAGTTTTCGGGTGTTTTTTTGCGATTTCCAGGAAGTCGGACGGAGGTCTGATGTTGCTCCAGCTATACTGGAAAAATTTCTGAAGTTGGCGTACCATAGAATGGGGATACTTGGAACTGCGGGGTGAATTGGAACGAATAGTTTTTTGTTTTACTAGGCAGAAAAGTATTAGATTGACTGCCGTGGCTGATAGTTCATAGTCGAGCGTAGCGAGAGAATTCTCCGAAGTCTGATAAATATATAAATAATTTTTTTTTTGTATAACATATCTAGAACAGGACGAATTCAAAAAATTCAAATATTTGGTCAATATCAAAAACGTTGTTGATTCAAAATCATGATGAACTTTTCTCGTCTCAACGTGTATCAGAATAAAAGTCTTAGGTTAGGAAATCTGAACCTTATTCTTCCAATTCAATGGTGACATGGAAACTAAAATTGTGATGACCTTGGTCTTATATGGTACATAGTACTATTGTGTGTTAGTCACAAGAGTATTGGAAGGAGAAAGCATGTAGATTTTCAAGTTACTGGTAAAATTCTTGAAGGCAATATGTGCATCATACCAAGATCAATAGGTCGCGTGCACGGTGACCGAACCTGGAGGCAAAATATTGAAACACAACCTCATTCTTCTGTGATTTATTGAAATACAACCTCACTTTTTTACTTGGTTACAGAGAAATCAAAGAATTGAAATAGTTTTTCACAATATTTTGGCATACGAATCGTGTTTTTTGCGCTATTCATTAATTCGAGCATGCCTTCGCATTGTGCTGTTGTACAATGCACAAAAAATGCAGCAAGAGACTAAAGAATATGATTTTTCAGGTAAATAGTAATCTCACATAGTTATCATTATGAAATGTTGTCATTCCTTATTAAAATTCCTTATGCCTTCAGTCACTTCTGCAATACAAGCTAATACTGCTAATAGATTGAAAATGTCTACAACACACACGATCGTCAGCATGTCAGACCAGTCCTCCCGATTGATTGCATGAACCCAATTTTCTGGCATTATTTCAGAAATTTCAGATGTATTTCTATTAGCTTCTATCGCAGAAAGAATTTCGATGAGAAATCAGAGAAATTACCAAATTTCAAAAATGAAAACTATATGTGAGTGACTATAATAGGTACCCACTTACTTTTAAATCATATTGTACCAACCGGATTACTTCGTCTTCCGCTGCAGTTTTTGTGCATTTCACAACAGCATAATGTGATGGCATGAGCGAATTGATGAATAGCGGAAAAATACGATTCGTATGCCAAAATAATTGTGAAAAACTATTTCAATCACTTGTAAACAAATAAGTAAAGTGACGTTGTATTTCAATATTTTGCCTCCAGTGTCGGTCATCTGACAGTTCTTGCACGCAACCCATAGAGAGTTGTTTTTATTGGTTATGTTGAATTGTTATTATTTAACACCGTATTGTGGTTATCAATTGATGAAAGGTATGAATAAATTTCATTTAGATGATTAATGTCAGATCTTTTGTTGATACAATTTGGTTCCTGGGCGATGAAAGACATTTCCAAAAAGGTTCTTTTTTTGTGATAACTTTTTGTAGCTGAAATTCTTGCTGATTCCTCTGACCATACGATGGATTCTCAATTCATGAGTAAAATCACTCTCTTGTTGGATGGACATTTCAAATACCAATCCAACAAAAAAAAGTTTTCTGAAATCGGTCAGATAATAACAATTTAACAGGGGTGGTAAGTCCTTAAGGTGGACACACTGTATATAGAGAGAAGTAGAGGACCAAGAATTCACCTCTGGGGGACCCCGAATTCACGATTCAGTACCTCGGAACGATTATTTTCGAATTCAACATATTGAGAGCGGCCCTCAGAATAACTTTTTTATTACACGCTTCAAGTCGAAAGACAATGATCGATTCAATATACGGCGTTCATTCCATCTAAAGGCTGTATGACACCTGTTAAATTTGATGACAAATATGATATGAGTTTTTGTGAAGCGGCTTTAGCGATGGATAGGACAAGATTTTTCCATGAGAGAGTATTACTGTTGATAATACCAAGCATAGATACAGTGGTCTTGAAAAGGAATGGTGGTACCAGACATTGTTATATCAGGCTTACTGAGTTCCGCCTTTCTAAGGAGAATACAGGCTTGAGAGTTAGTGGCGTTCAATTCAACTAGGTTGTTATTTCCCCTAGATCTTCATTGACATAATTGGCCTGCTAACGTAGTAAGTTCTTAGTTTCCTGGGAAGAAATGGGAATTCTAGAAGAGAATGCAGTATGGAGAGTACTATCGTCTGCAAAGCTGTGGATAGGGCAAGTGGTTGCTCCCATAGATCGTTGATATGAAATAGGAACAACGTTGGTACCAAAATTGATCCTTGTGGAACGCCGGAATTGATGGCAATAGTATCAGACGATATTCCGTCCACCACCACATGGAGCGATCTGTAAAGAAAACTCGATAACAGTTGGTATAGTAGAGGTGGTAAGTCGTATAATAGTAGTTTGGGAAAGTTTCACGATTGAAGTTCAACTCTGGATTAACCTTGCTCATAAACTCCCACCATGTATACCAAACTTCTTCATATAATCATGAACTATCTGATAAAAAGATACGCCAAGGCCTGTAATCGATGTATAGTGAACCATGCTGTTATGATATTGAGTTGGTAATACAACAATTGAAAAGCTCGGAGAGAGACAAATTTACAAAAAAGCTATGCTCACAAACATAAAAATTCCGAATTTCCATATAAATGAGACGCCGAATGTATACCTCTGCACATACGACGAGATTAAAGCCGTATACATATAAATGGTCCGAGCTTTTCATTCTTTTTCGTTGCATTAAAATATCGGCTCTCCTGATATGATAGCGGGG